CTCACCTCAGCATGCTACCTCTGATGCCACTTCCTAATTTATTGGCCAGCACTTGTGATGGGAGTTCCCCCAAGGGGAATCCTGCTGAACTATGGCTGTAATGTTGATATAGCTTTAGCTTCCTAGAATTTTGCAAATGAAAATTCCCTATAATAAATTATCCACAGACTAATTCAAACCCGAATTAGCATTAAAATCTCTCCATCTTAAAACATTCACATGGTTTGGAGAGGTGGCGTTATGGAGTAAAGGGAGATGAAGAGTGGGAAGAAGATAGATTCATTCATCCATTTTGATGGCACACCTTTCTCCGGGCATATGGCAGTCTCATGCAAATTCAAACCAGAGCACAAATGCAAAAGAATAATTGCCCATTAAAGCGGTTGTATATTTTTATAGCTTTGATGCAGAATCTTCCCCCCTGTTGGTTTTTGCATCTGCTACTCTTCCATCTATCCCAGAGCTCTAAAACTTTAATATGCAGTTTATAACGCTCAAGTATTTTCTACTGGTTTTGTGTTTCTTCTCTTGGGATCTCTAGGTTTGTGGGAATATATCATTTCCTTTTGTGTTTGAAGGTAACCACTGTGTTTTAAAATCCAGAAATCACAGTAGCCAGTTGTATAAATAAATAAAATCTAGGGGCAATTTGAGACAAGTAGCAGTACATCTTATAGTTGGTGGGGAGGAAGCAAGCATTGAAAGGCTGGAGGAAATAAGGTATGAGATAAGAACCTCAGGTGATTTATATTGATTAATTCTTCCATCTAATAGACCCACGTTGTTTTGCCCTAATATCATTCATATACCCAGCTGCATCATAACATTTTCTTTATGTTAAATTTCATAATGTAGCACTCTTTTTTTTGTTGTTATTGGGTTTTTTGTTTGTTTTGTTCTGTTTTTTGGTGAGGCAATTGAGGTTAAGTGACTTGTCCAGGGTCACACAGCTAGTAGTGTCTGGTCTGAGGCCAGATTTAAACTCAGGTCCTCCTGACTCCAGGCCCAGTGCTCTATCCACTGCATCACCTAGCTACCCCAACCACTCTCTCTCTTTTTTTTAAAAGAGAATTTTAGTTTATTAACATATAGAAATATTTACTTTGTGAGAATTGAGATGAATGGGCAGGAAAAATTCAGATAGGGATGTTTATCTGTCAACAAGATGTGCAGTCAGTATGTATTCCAAAGATTCTTATGTTGTGATCTTCTCGAGAAATCCATTTTTAGCATATGGACTAAATCCAATTTTCATTGCAGTGATACCAAATTTTTCACTTTGATTCATGCCAGATAAGGTTTAAATGGGAACTTTTCCAGCATAATGAAGCTCAGTTTTTTTTCCTTCTCCCAGTCAGACACTAAATGATTTTTTAGTGTTAGCAACCCAACCTGAACACACTCCATTGTTCCTTATTAATGATTTGTTTTAATGTGTTTTACCTAAAGTTAAAACAGTCAAAATCAAACTCAAGTTGGCAAGCTTAGAAAAATCTTTCCTTTACAATGCATTTTACTGACAGGTCAGAAAGTTGATGAGAAAGCCAATGTTGGACAATTATGATTTTTATCTGTATGTCTCTTTTTTATTCCAGTCGGCCAAATTTTGAGAACTGCAATAAAGGGTTGCTGTGCTTCCTTTTAAATTAGATTGAAAAGTTTTCTTTAATGATCTGACAACTTTAGGTGCCATTCATTCATTCAATAAGCATTTACTAAGAATCTGCTGTTTGTTGAATGTTATTGGGGGAATGGGAGTAGCCACTGAAGTAATCAGTAAAAGCCCCATGTAGGAAGTAGCACCTTAGCTGGGTTTGAAGGAAGCTTATTTCTTTTCTTTGTTCACAAAATCAAATAGAATTGAGACATGAATCTGTATAGTTCAGAGAAAGTTACTTCTCTTGTTCTGCATTGTACAAATTATCTAGATAAATCATTTCAAATATGCAATCTTATGTGGTACCTTTGTCTACAAAAGCATACTGGTAGAAAAAGGGATGATCCAGTTAGTCAGCACAGTGGTTGCTCTGAACAACAGCCAATAACCATGTTGACATGTTTTCCCCTGAATCTCCCATTTTTATAACAATGGAAGGAAGAAAGACAGTGGCAAATATGGTAAAAAAATTAATATGGATCAGAAAGATGATTACTTATTCCATTTCTGCATACTCTCCTTCTCCTAATAATGCCCAGTATACCATCTTGCATTTAGCAGGTGTTTTATAAATATTTGTTCAGTTGAAGTATTCTCTGGTCATTTTTCCCCCCATACATTTATCATTTATCATGTTCCCGGGTTGTACTGTCCTTTGTTTCCAGAAAGAGCTCTTCTTATATGGTGACAGAAAAAGACATGAATGCCTCTCCACATGTATTTCCTATTAAGTTTGTGCACTGCTCTCCAACACGATCAAAATCGACACTCAAACACCAACACCATTCAATTATAACAGTACTTAACAAAATTAAAAGCTGTAAGAATTCCAAAATTGTTATCCTTTGGTCCATGCTGTTTGTTTTTTCATAGAGAAAATATATCTTCTAACTTTGTGGTTTCTGGGCAAAGGCAGCATATATAAAAAATGGAAATTATCTCCCTGGGAACTCTGGCTATAATACAGTTAAGTCATTTGTCTGTTGTTCATCAGCAGATATTTCTTGAATAGTCACCTCATACGTGACACTACATTTAGTAGTTTAGAAAGCTTACAGGGTGTGAAGAGAGGGCTTTGCCATCAGTGAATGAACTCCAGAGTGGATTCTTCACTGAAGTATCCATTTCACTTTGATTACATTGAGCAGGCAGAAGTATCCTTTGAAATCCATTTATTGTGCATGCCAAATGGGATATACCAGAGCGGATTTTTGATTAATGCTCCCTGCCCCTGCCAGTGATAACAAGTTGATACAAATTCTACAAGTTGATAAGATAGCCTTCATGAGCATGATACACATTTGCACAATAAATGAATTTCAAAGGACATTTCTGCCTACTCAAGGTGGTGCTATTTAGTTGTTTCAGTCAGGTCCCGACTCGTTGTGACCCCATTTGGGCTTTTTTTGGCAGTGGTTTGCCATTTCCTTTAACAGCTCATTTTACAATTGAGGTAACTGAGGTAAACGGGGTCACACAGCTCCTAAGTGTCTGAGGTAGGATTTGAACTCAGGTCTTCCTGATTCTGGGCCCTACACTCTATCCTCTGTGCCATCTAGGTCCCTACTCAAGGTTTCAAAATGAAATGGATACCTGAGTGAAGAATCCATTTTGGAGTTCAGATCCTCCATATGGATGGTCTACATTGCCCTAGATCATAAGATGGTTTCTCAGTCCTCTGTTTTGGCTGTAGAGACCTGGCCTCCTCAAGAATATGAAATTTAAATCCTAAAACTGATTCATAGACATGTTTGCATTCCTTTCATAAAATAGGAATTTCTCTAATGCGGTCTGCTGGAAGCCCAAAAGCCACGTATTAAGACCTGTAAATACCTTATGTGGCATCTAAAAGGCATTTTCTTTTTTGTAACAAAGAGGTATAAAATTGAATACTGGCTTTGCACTTTTAACAGAATGTTCTCCTCTTGCTGTATTGTTGTGGTTCTGTTTCATGTTGTATCTCAACATCTAAATCCTAAAAGAATTACTGTAAAACCTGCTTGTCGCTGAGAGGGATCTTGTAAAGCTTGGAAGGTACTGTAGCCAGGTGATAATGGATAGGTCAGCATAATTACAGTATTTCCTCACCCAGGCAGCCAGCTGCTGCAGCAGATTGTGAATTTTTCATTTTCTTTATTTCAAAATTCAGTGTGTTTCTATAAAAACTTAATATTTAAACTGAGGAAAGACACATCCAGAGTCAAATCTGCTCTCCATCCTTCCCCCCACTCCCATCCCCACCCCACATGTGGAAGGCAGCTTCTCATCTCATCACTTCTAATTTATGATACTAGGATCTACTCACTTTCTACATTAAAATTCACACCTCTCTGCTATTTAAAGCATATTTGTTGAAACACCAGCCAGGAAATCCAGGTGCTACAGAGAGCATATGGTATAGGAAACCTGAGAGAGAAATAAAGCCGGAAGGTTTGCTCTCTTCTTACCTTTTAAAGTTTTCAGAATAAAGTAGAAAGCTTAAATCAGCCTGGTATGGGTCACTCCTCTTGCCTTACTATTCTGAAATCCTCAGAACCCATATTGAATGGGGGATGGCGATGAAGAGAATCTTTCTCATAAATATTAAATAGCATATTGCCTACCACACCAGCCCCTACTCTGCTTGGGCCTTAATTCAATTCTAATAGTAAGGTATTATAAATAGCTTACTTTTGAACCCAATTACACAGGTTGGCTCACTGTTTTTAGCATGGAAAAATTCCCACATCCCATTCTTTGGGGTTACATTTTAAAGCAGGTCTTATAGGATATATATGCAAGAGTATTTCTTTTAAATCAAACCTCATTTTTTTTCTCTAGCCTTTAATACACTCCCTCTATTTAGGTGGCATAATGGGTAGAATGCCAGGCCTGGAGTCAGGAAGATCAGAGTACAAATCCAGCTTCAGATACTTGCTAGCTGTGTGACCCTGGGCAAGTCATTTCACCTTGGTTTGCCTCAGTCTCCTCATCTGTAAAAATGGGGATAATAACAGCACTTATCTTGCAGGATTGTTATGAGGATCAAATGAGAATTCATCAGAAAGTGCTCAGTGCAGTGGCTGGCATAGAGCAGATTCTATATAATTGTTAGTTGTAATAATAATAATAATAATTATTATTATTATTGTTATACTCTTGAACATGATAGTTAGAAAGGACTTTATATATTATCTACAGATAATACAGATGAGGAAACAGAGTCCACAAACCCTAGGATGATGGTAGGTTTCCTACATCTTCCCTCTGTGTGTCCACATGTACATAAGGAGTGATTTGGGCTTTGCCTCCTGTATCTAATCCATCCATCTTCTCCTTCTCCTTTCTCTTCTGTCTCCCATAGTGCCTGGCTTCCCTTATCCAGCCGCAACTGCAGCTGCTGCTTACAGAGGAGCCCACCTCAGAGGCCGTGGCCGCACCGTCTACAACACCTTTCGAGCAGCGGCTCCTCCCCCCCCAATCCCAGCCTACGGAGGGTAAGTGTGGCAGTCTCCCTTCGTCGTCACCCCTGAAGCACTGAGCTGTTTGTGAGTGCAGTGCATGCTGGTCTTGTCTCCCCACTGGAACCAACCCAGCATGCAGCCCATCCGAGTGCCTGAAGTGGAGCACCTTGCACCAAGTATTGAAAAATGAGTGTAATTTGTCCTGTCATGGTTGGTGGCTTTAAGCATTTTATATGTCACATGTTGTTATGTAAATTCTCTTTGAGACTGAATGCTGTAGAACAGAGAAATGGTTACAGCTAAAGATGTATTTTTTATGATTGCAAACATCTGGTTATTAAGGAGGTTGGATCATGCTTAACCCTTGAAATTGGGCCCCAGACTTTTTATACACAAAAATCATGGTGGTTTTTTTGCCCCTCCCTAATGACACATGTATTGAAGTCAAGACTTCAATTTATGAAGTGTTTGCCAAAAAGAGAGAAGGAATAAATTGAGCACCAATTCAAATATAGACATGAAAACTGGATTAAATAAAATTGTTTTATTTCATTTTTCTCAAAAGTTGCCTCTATTCCGTCCCTTTTTGGGGAGCATAAGGGAAGGGACCAAAAAAAAATACACCTTTCTTTCCCACAGCTGGCTGCAATTCATGACTCAGCTATTGCCAAATCCTAAGGGAATGGTGGTGAAATGCTGCTTAATTACCTTTAAGATCAAGTGGAGTTGTGTCATCTGATGGTTATCATGAGACACTGCTCACCTGTACTATTAAGTTCCATGAGGAATTGCAATAATACTTGACTCTAATCAAGGGAAGATATGTGTAATTCAGTGAAGAGAGATCTAATTAGACCAGGAAACAGATTTCTGAGGTCTGGCTCTCTTGATGTTCTAAATTGCATTCAGAAAGCTGCTGGAAAAGTCAAGAGGCTTGTAAAGATTTGCAGATTTGAATTGTTTAGATATCAGTCATTAGATATTGAGATCTTCTCCCTAATGCAGTGCATTTTACCCATGATAGATGTCTAATTGCTTGAGATTCAGAAGACTTTAATCAATATGTCAGATTATAAGCTGCCCAAAGTAGCCTAGACTAAAATGACCTTCTATAATTCCCCCCCCTTCAGTAAATTAGACTTTCTTGAGATATAAATAATACATCAGATCTTTTTCGTTAATGGGCTGTGGTACTGTGATCATAATAATGAGCTCTGATCACTCAGGACTGCAGCAAACCCATTTTATGGATCAGGAAATTGAGTTCTAGAAAGATGTTTTTTCCATGCACATATACATGTTTTTTTCCCATGTATATTTCAGTACATGAGTTGTGGAAACCAAAAAAATTGCTTCCTAAGTTTATGAAACAGGTAGAACACGGTCCTATAGCTATAAATGCAAAATTGCATGTTTACACCACATTAGTTTGGCTTAAAAGTATCTTATCTCCGTGGAAGATAATTGCATCTTTTTGGTATGTACCCATAGTATCTCACTACTATATTGAACAGAAAAACATAAAAGTAAAATTATATGGCTTATTCTCACATGAGTAGTTTATAAAATCTCAGAATAACACACCTGCTATAAAATTAAAATTTGCTAACTTATAAGAAAAGTAGTCTTTGTTGGAGATAGTCATGCATAACTAATTAATGGTTTTTTCACAAGGGAGCTGTGCAGTCATATTCAACTTGCAAAAATAATGTGTTTGTGAATACCCAGGAAATTATTTGGATTTAGCATCCTAGTGTCATTGCTAATCATTTTTGTAATAGTAGGTACACATAACCTTTTTGCTGATGATCTAATCTTTTGTAATTCCAACTTAATAGTAAAGAAATAGACAAAGTTCTCAAGTAGTACAAGTGAAACTCAAAAATAAAGGCATGTGCTTTCAAAGAAACTTGGAAGCTGGGATTCTATGGCTTATATCTATAGGATAACTAAGCAACTAAATGAAAAGTTAAAAAAAAATTCAGGTAATTATCCAGAAGTTTTGTTTTTTATGATGTCATATCTGGATATTTGCAACCACTGGAATACTGGGTGTCATGAAGAACAAACATCATGAGTGAAATTTTCCCTTTCCATCTGTGTGTTTTGTATTCTATAGATATGCCCCCAAATCATTATGAAGGCTCAGGAGATCATTTTGTCCTGTGGAAACAGGTTTGTTGAGGTTGATATAGTGAAAAAGGGATCCATGTTCTCATCCACTTTACTCACCTAGAGTAGGAATAGGTAGGAGAGGGCATCTAACTTGTACTCAGGAAGAACAAAAGACCATGAATAGGGGCCCAGGTGATTATGATTTTGCAGGTAAGATGTATTCCTTTGGCAGATTCTCTACAGAACCTGAGACTTGTGGCAAGGCTCTCTTCATTACAGGGTCTCTTCTGTTTATTGTACTAAAGTCCATTGGCTCTTGAACCAATTGCATGGCCTAACTTTAAGGTTTCCTTCATCTGTCTCCTTTTACCAGAGATCTTCCCTCTAGTGGATACCACCCTTTTGGCACATACACTCCAGAAGTATTTATTCATGGAGCCAATATAATCATTTCTATCCACTTAGTTTTACCTTCATATCTTCTGGTGACATAGCTTGAGTCACAGGAAGTTTATAAGTTCTATTTTCATGTGTAAGCAGAAACACTCTAGGGAGTGTTTCTTCCATGCCTCACTAAATCCATTGATTTGTGCCCTAAGGTCTTGATTAATTTAGGTCAATCAATGTATTTTTTAATAGGCAATGATAAGGACAGGGTAACAGGAGATACTGGATTCTGGATTTGATTTTCTTCTTACCTCTCTGCATAATTTTCAATAGTGAATGTTGCCTCTATGTCCCTCACTTTCCTCTTCTGTATAGTAGGCATACTAATACCTTAAGGATAATTTAGAGAGATAGTCAGTGTACTTCAGATATTTAGGATCATAAAAAATATTCTTTGCTGGGCACTTGAAGAATGAAACTTGATGGAATTCCACCAGGAATACCTTTAAAGTCCTCATAAAGTATAGCCCAAATGCTAGAATGGAATCTCTAGACTTTCATGTTGACTTCTAATCTCCACTTTGCATTGTTCATTTATTGTAAGTACTAGACATAAAATAATACTACCTTCCCCTGTTTTCAGTATGTTCCCTCAAATAATACTGCATTTCCCCCCAAATTTTAGTAATGGTACAATTCTACAGGGGAGAGATAATCTCTAAAGGTTGAAAGAAGCATGTAAATCTAATAGGACTAGAGCTTAATATCATAATTATATTTTAATTCCTCTTCCTACTAGAAACAGAGGGAGCCCAGAGTATTTATGAACAGTGATTTTTAAAAAGCATTTTTGCTTCTGCATGTCTTAGAAGTCATACACTTAGTATAGAGTATATTGTTTTGATGGAGCCCTATATAATTATTTTAAATTTCATTTAAGTAAAATTATTTTGCTTTAGTGCAATAACTCCTGGCTTTCTTTTTTCCCTAAATGTTTGACTATTATTACTTTCCTAAAAAAAAATGAATTGTGCCTTTGCATTATGCTGTTGCAGAAGCATAGTCCATCTTGGCAGCATTGACAAGGATTAGAATTGCCTTTGCCTGTCTCAGCCAGCAAGCCCTGCTTGCAAAAAGTATGAGGGGAACTCTTTTCTTTTGCTATTTGTTCTGGACTTGATTCATCAGTAGCTGCATACTTTCCCCATTTCATTGATCCTCCTTTACTATGAATTAATCTGAATTACCAGGGAGTGGGGTTTCTTATGGCATTAAAAAAAGAAAAAGAGAGACATTAGATTTAATTTAATTTATTCAATCTCTTAGACAAATTGATTGTGGTATGTTATGTGAAATATAAATATTACTAAAAATAAGTATTACCTTTTGGATTAAGTTCCTAGGTACCTAATAATATTAATAATAAATATTAAATAATACAGTTAAAATAATAATATATGAAAACCAAAAGAGGTAAGGAAACTGACAGCAGATGAGCTTATTTCACTCAATTCAATACAACAAATGTTTATTAAATACTTTCTTAATACAGAGTGTTTATAAGCACTGGGGGAGATTCAGAGATTAAATGAGACACACGGGCCTAACTTCCTTTATCTTATAATTGTAACAAACAAATGCTGATTAATGTATGATTTGAGATTAGTTTTCTGTGAGTCAGCATTATTTTTCTTCTATGTTGTCATCTTGAAATTGAGAGCTGGGCACTCCTGATCGAAAACCAAGTTTAAGAGTAATTATTGGAATTCTAATCTATTAATACACAAGGTGGTCAAAACATATTATTCCTGGGCTACTGGAAAGAGTATCAGTCTAGACAGAGACTTGGGTTTTAGGCCTAGCTCTTTCCCTAATTAACTATGTGTACTTATCCAAGTCACCTGATTTTTTGGTCCCCCCAATCATCAATTGTAGATAATAATACCTTCCTAGCTGCTTTATAAAGTTGCTAGAAAACTCAAAATTAATAACATGGGCGCTTTGAAAAAATTAAAATACAAAACAAATATAACTGAGATCTTATCTGTGCACAGATGAGGCCATACTTAGATGGACAAAGGAGATAGGTGAGCAACTGTCTCATAATTTTGATCAGTGTAGACAGATAATAAGAACTTAAGTGAGGCTTTAAAAAAACCCACCACCAGCACCAAACCCCATCCTCTTTCAATAACAGTGGGCCTTTTAGCTTAAATGAAACCCCATCTTTACCTTTTCTTCTTATAAATACAGAATATGAGTTAAAAGAAATGAAACAGCCCTCAGTTTCAGTTCACTTTATGGCATGACCAACATAATGATATACTAAAAAGAACACTGACTCTGGAAGTCAGGAGATCTGGGTTCAAGACTGGCTATTTGACCTTGAAGGAACCATTTTATTCATACAGCTTTGTAATTTCTATGGTTCTATAAAAGGAGTGGAAAATGAAGAAGTGGCAAGAGTTCATTGTGTTACATGGATGCACAGTGAAGTTAAAAGGTATGAACCTGGAAGGGGTAAAAAACTT